ATGAACAATTCTTGTATAGGTATATACCTATGTAGGTATGTAAATGAATGTATTTACTATTTCGGAATACGGTTGCAACTGTATTTACATAAGGTTTGGCGTTATTAGTTTATCTATAGGTATCTTTTCTGCAAAAACGCAATTTTTATAGCTTTTCCGAAAAATATAATGTTAAAAAACAAAACGCCGAGCGAAACTCGGTCACCCAGTGTACTTACTGATAGTTTTAAAAGTTAAACTTGACAGAATGTTATTAAAAAAAATGTTTTAATATGTTTGTCTGTTTGTACATGAATATATAGTTATAGTTTTACACAGTACCTAGACATTTTTTGTCTTATGACTTTATAACTTTTCATTTCAATCTACTTACTGAGAAAATAAAAAAAAACCTCAATCAAGTGCTTCTCCGTTTTGAAGTCGGTAAAGATTTAACTAGATTTTTACATAAGTTTAGTTTTTCCAATACGCTTCCATACAAAGTCGAAGTCATGTTTATTCGTTGTAGAAGAAATATTTGTTTTTTAACAAAAAGGTACAACGTCTTTAAGATCCACTTAAGTTTGTAACATTTTGTTAAAATAAGGGACCAATCTCGATTATGAAAATCGATGGTTTATCGATTGACTAACATATCGCATAGATATATGGACCTACTAACCTAATCTACCCTACACATACATACACAAACAAGAAAAACAATAAAGCTCTTGGTTTTAAAAGTACCTACTTATAATATAACGACACGTTTGGCTCAGTTTGTAGTGACCCTACTTGCTGTGCCAGCGGTCACGGGTTCGAGTCTCGCTGGGGGTATTCATTTGTGTGATGAACACGAATGTTTATACCCAATCATGGGTGTCTTCTATATATGGGTGTTTTTATAATATATATGTATTTAAATTTATACATGTGTAGTGTATCAACTACCTGGTATCCACAGCACAAGCCTCGTAGCCTACCATGGAACTAGATGGGGTGTGTGTTAATGTCCCAACATATTTAGTTATTTAAAAGTACAAACGCAGGTGAAGGCACGGCCAATAGCTTGTACTTAGTTTTTTTTATTCTTAGTGTTTATAAAAGATTTTAATAGTAATTATATCTAATTAATTACCTATATATCTTTCCTAAGTTGACGTTAATATATTAAAAAGTAAAAATAAAAATCTACGTCTTATTGTAATTAAGCAGATAAGTATCTGACTTACCTATGCGTGGCTTTTTAAAATAAAGAAATACAACAATTTTGGCAAAATGCTAATTGTAACTTGTTCCGGGGATCACGGTAGCTATGGTCACTTGAAGTTAAGAAATAACTAGTGTTCGTCGAGTAGTAAAATCGACGATAATATTTTTTTATTGAGAGCACCAAAGCTCGGCAATAGCTACTAAGCAAAAAAAAGAAAATCGGTAGACAAATTGAGGAGAAAAATTTACTGAACTGTTTCTTTTTTGCCTATTTATATAAAAAAATAATAATATCGTAGTAAAATATTAGCTTGATAGCATATCGGTGAAATGTAGGTACCTACCTAGTCTAACTATAGGTATGTTATTCCAGAATATAAGGTATTTTCAACATAAAGACTAGGTAGGTAGTTGTCTAACGGTGAAGGAAAATATTGAAACGTTTAGTTCAGTTTGAAGTGAACCTACTTGCTGTGCCAGCGATAGCGGGTTCGAGTCCCGTTGGGCGTATTCATTTGTGTGATAAGCACGAATGTTTGTAGTCCAGTCATGGGTGTCTATATTTATAATATGTATGTATTTCAAGTTATATATGTGTAGTGTATCAACTATCTGGTATCCACAACACAAGCCTCGTAGCTTACCATGGAGCTAGATGGTGCTGTGTATTAATGTACCAACATATATTATTTATTTATTACTTATTATTGTGAGCAAAACCCGCTTGTCTAATTGTGAGAGAATACAACAAGTTTATGAAAGACATGAAGTCCGCCAACCCATACCTCTCCAGCGTGGTGGACTATAGACTCATCTCGCTCGTGTTATCGTATAGGCTCGTGAACCCAGTGCAAAGCCACCTTCATTGTAAATTTAATTCAGTTAAGCAATTACAGCGTGAAGAAATAACAAATATAGGTACTAACTGACAAATATTTACATGTATATTTTTAACTAACTAGCGACTCACCCTCGTTTCGCTCGGGTTCGTCCCAAGCTTGCGCGGTGCTTCCCAATACAAATTTTCGTCCCTATCATTTCATCCTTAAGGGACGATTTCCGGAAAAAATAATCTATGTCCTTCCTAGGGTCTCAAACTATCTTCTTGCCAAATTTAATATAAATCGGTTCAGTAGATACAGAGATTACAACCTCACAAACTGACAAACTTTATCTCTTTATAATATTAGTATAGACTAGCGACTTACCCTGGCTTCGCTCGAGTGCGTCCCTAGGTATTTTTTTTGAGCAGAACCTTAATTCTTTTTGTAAAATAAAAGAAGCCTAAGTTACTCCTTATATCATCAGCTATCTACCAGTGAAAGTCCCGTCAAAATCAGTCCCCCCGTTTCGGAGATTAGGCGGAACAAACAGACAGACAGACAGATAGACAAAAAAATTAAAAATGTTTTTTTCTTATAAGTAGGTACCTTAACTATACAATTTCATATGCATTTAGTAAAAAACTGTTATTTTGACATTACAGACACATCAATTTTATCTATCCGTATAGATTACAGTGCGATGTCATATTATTGAAGTCAAAATATTTAACTTCACAAATCCGCACTAAGAAACTTCCTACATATTCAAAAATCCAAAATCTTAGGTCCGTCGGTAGTTCAAAGCCTATAACCGACGTTGTAAACGTGTAAAAATAATAAAAGGAGTTTATAGTGCCTATTATAATACACCAATTGTGCCTTCAGTACATATAAAGGCTAATTGGCAGTATAAAACTAATTTTGATTAAGTTTTTATCTTTTTGGTTATTTTGTAGCCTTATACTACACTCGGCCTGTTAGTATGAGACTTTTTTCGTTCAGGTCGGCGGTTTGATTTCCGATTGTTGTAAGACTTCTGAGTGCTTTATTTATCTACATATTTTCAATTAGTCCCAAGACTAATTTGATTTTAGATTTATTCAATACCCATAATAGTACCAACTTACAAGATTCTTATAGGTCTAGTAATATATTAACTTATTAAAAAAAATAACTATCACCTAGTCTATACAGATAAATAAAATTGAAGTGTTTGTAATTCAAAAATAACAGCTCTTTACTAAACGCATATGAAATTATATACAGTACATATAAAAAAAAACACAATATTTAAAATTTTTGTGTGTCTGTCTGTTTGTTCCGTCTAATCTCCGAAACGGCTGGTCCGATATAGACGGGACCTTCACTGGTAGATAGCTGATGCTATAAGGAGTAACATAAGCTACTTTTATTTAAGAAAAAGAATTAGGGTTCAGTGCAATAAAATTTAAAACTCTTGTAAAAGTAAATAAAATCGGTGTACCTAGGAACGCACCCGAGCGAAGCGAGTATAAGTCGCTAGTTAGATATGACATAAGTGCGGAACTTTTCTGAGTAATTCATCTGGAACCCAATAAGAGAAGATTTAACGTAATAATAATTATTCTTATATGAATTTCAGAAACAGAAAAATATTTAATACTACATTATGACCGAATACATTATAACTTTAAAGCTTATTAGAATTTAATGACTACTATAATTAAGATTTATATTTCAAACAGATAGAACGAGCTTTTTTTAGTAACATTACTGTAATGCAGTTAAATGAATGGTACATTCTATATATATAGATATAATAAAAAGATTTATGACTTACGACTCCGTATACATACATACATACATACATATTTTTCTACGTCATATAAAATTACAATTTCAATAAATCTACGTAAAAAATAAGGTATGTAATGAGGTGATGAATGAATAAAGTGTCGATAACCCACAGAGTAAGACATGCTTTTACTTAGGTATGGCTAATTTAAATTTCTATGAAAAATATCTTTATGTCTAAACATGAATCTCTAAATATGAAGTAACTAACAACGAAGGTTGCTATTTGGAAAAGTATTTAAGAAGAAAAAAGGTACTTCTAACCGACTTCTAAAAAGGAGGAGGTTCTATTATCATATAAGATTTTGATACATATCTATATTCTACTAAGTAAATATTATTTATATCATATACTAACAAGTATTTCAGCTCAGAATAAATTAAATGTATCTATTCAATTCAATATTACTGTCGATTTATTCTCACCCGTGACCTCGATCACGTTCTACATCCATAAAAAATATTTTTAACTGTGGAATATTGAGGCTTATCATCAGTAAAAAACAAATCATTCGGTCACACAAACAAACAAAAGTAACTCTTTTTAGCAGTAAAAAATAGCTTATAGCTTGTTTTCTAAAGACACTGAATTAAAGAATAAATTTACTTTCGCGTTAATTATTTTACTATGGATGTATCCAAATGAACCATTTAGGTGCTTTAAATGTACACTTTAATACATGTATAATATACTCTGGATTGCCCTTAATAGCTTCCTAATGACGTTCCTGCACAATATAAAAGACCCTAACACTTTTGTTCGTGATTGTATACTTATTTTATCCTTATTACATACTAAGTTAAAGATTAAGATACATTTTTAAGCAAAATTTATAAAGCCATAGATAAATAAAACAATAATTGTGAGTTTTATGGAGGTTATAGTACTAATAATTAAATTCAAAGGAGAATGAATAATTTTCTTTTTTTTTTGAAAATTAGATGGATATTTTAACAAATATTTAAGTTTTTTTTAATGATTAATTGTGCGGTAGTAACTATGATATATAATATATAACTACATATTTACATAGGTATATTTATGGAGAATAAAATTAAAAAAAAATAAAGTTAAAATATATACATTCATTCATTCATCAGAACAGAAACTAACAAAAGTTCATTGACCGAAACAATTAAAAAAATACTAACCTTATCAAGTGACCGCTGGCACGTTGATGCAAATCTAGATCCACCTTGGTTTTTTTTTAACACGGATATCAAAAAAACACTGTTCAATAATCAAAACAACATATTTAAACGCGTCGCGATGCGGCCTTACGTACGCCGCCAGGCACAATGGCGACAATCGACAATCGTACACGACTGCGGTGACGGAGCGCTAACAAATCGAATGATAAACGTACTCGCCTCAGCCAATCAGGAGCCAGAATGACGCCCACGAAAACGATTCAAGCTCTCCCATTGGTCAAGTAACTGCCATTGCCTTACGGATGTTATTATGCAGAAGACGACCAACTGTTCGAAATTCAAAATAATTTAAGCGTACACAATTGCACTGCGTTGGTTGGCTTTTTGTTTTTCTTGCTTTTGAAATAATGATTTCTGTTATTAGCTCGGCTTGAATATGGTGATGTTCGCTGCACAATTACGAGAGTGCTATCAAAATATGTTTAGCTTTTGATAATATTAAGCTTAATATTGAGCTTAATAATTGTTATTGGAATAGTGAACTTTTTATTATATCAGTAATAAAGTTGCGTAGATAGCTAAGACGTAGGTTTTAGTTCATAATCCATGTCGCAAAAATCGTAGGTTCGAATCCTTTTATAAATACTATAGGTTATCTGAGAGGTAAATGCTTGGGCAAAAATATTAAATAATATTAAATAGGAATGTAAGCTTCTTTCTGAGCTTTCCAATTTTCATTTAATAAATAATGATAATTTAGAAAAAAAGTCATATCATTATAATCACCATATCACATAGTATAAAAGCTCTTACTAAAGACTGCAAGATTGCATTTATAAAAGTTTACTTTGACAAAGGATCTCTTATTTATAGGTATATGTATGAAAGTTGTAAAATCGATACACGTGGAGAACTTATCTATCGTTGACCATGAAATGGGTTACTACCATCCTATACCTATATATGTTACAAATTTAAAAGATATGATTGATCATACAAAATATATCTATAAGCATGGCACGTTTATTTTAATCTGTGTAAATATTATAAATGTGAAAGTTTGTGAGTATGGATGTTTGTTACTCTTTCACACCAGAATGCCTGAGCGGATCTGGATGAAATTTAGTACAAAGATAGATTATAGTCTGAAATAACACATAGGATACTTTTTATCCTGGCAAATATACGGTTCCCGTGGGATAGATTTGTTTTTGTTTTGTCCGCTATTAAGGTATATTTAACAGCTTGATTTACTTGGGTTAATGTTATGTTTATTATTGAGTCTTACAATAGCAATTATGTAAGGTAAGTTCAATACATCTCGTTGACCGAAGACGAGGTTCGTTCACATTTAACTTTGAAGCATACCTACTAAGAGTATAATTGATTGTAACTTAGGTTGGTGCTATGTGTATACTGTATAAAATGTTACTTTTACTAAAAAAAAAAAAAGTGAAATGACTGAGTTAAATATATTCTCATTAGTATAGGTATTATCTGATTCTATATAACTTATCTATCTTTGGTTTTCCTTACTAGCGATAGGAATTTGGCATAATTTGTATGGAGCTTATATCTCTAATAAGGTAAATTTCAGATGTTATTGAGAAAAATGGGTCGTATTGAGTCATCTCAATTTTTTAATATGTAGGTAGGTACCTATTATCGTATAGGTACGTACGTATTAATATGTTTGTCATATTTCTGACTAGTAACTTCAACTTTGTATCAAATGATATCATTATATTTAATTACATTGCCCATACACCGTAATAATAGTTACGTTATTAAAAAAAATATGCCTAACTAATACAAAAAAAATAGGTAGGTAGGTAGATATATAGATTTAATTGGGTTTTGATCACTTTTTTTCTTAAACTGTATTTAATGAAATATCTAATGTAAAGCAAATTATATAACCTTATAGGTACTTATTGAAAATACAAATATAAAAATGATGGAATCTTTAATTGTATTAGTAAGTATGTAGTAAGTTTAGATGATTGGATGTTTGGATGTTTGTTACTCAATCACGCCAGAACGCCTGAACGGATCTAGATGATATTTGGCACAGAGATAGATTATAGTCTGGAATAACATATAGGCATTTTATCCCGGGAAACTGTAAGGTTCCCGTGGGATAAATCTGTTTTTATTTTTCTAGAGACGAACCCGAGTGAAGCGAGGGTCAGCCGCTAGTCTTTTATAAATATTAGAAAACCTTTCATATTATTTTAAACTGTTAATGATATCCCTAATGAAAAGCTCTAAAATAGTTTAAGAGGTTACTTTGTATGATAGGTATGAGACATCAATAAATCTTTGTTACTTTTTCAAAGAATAAGATAACATATGATCAAAGAAATCAACCGGAATAAGTATCCATTTTAAACTTGCTAATTTATTTATTCCTTTCGCACTTTCAACAAGAGAATTTGTAACGGTCTGTTAATTTAACAATCGAATTAAAATTACAGTAGCGAAGCAATAAAATACCTGCCTATACACATGTTGCAAAGTATAACGTCTAATATGGGCTTGTCATATGCAAAAATCATTTATTTAAATTTAAATTTCTTTTAACAGGGCGCATGTTTTAAATATATGAATAGATATTTTTTATTGGCAATAAAATTGTATGCGATTTGCCTAGACCGCATTGTGATTTCGAAAACATCAGGGCGCGACCCAATGCCCTCGCGTCAAAAAATCACATTTAACATTTCAATTATCGACCCTACGATACTTTATGATATAGGCAATTTTTTCCATTTAAATTTCATTGAATGTATGAATGACTTTTACAGTATTTTGAATTTTTCGTATCGATTCCATATTTGCATGTTCTTTGTTCGGTTATTGGATCATATTTTGGATGATAGACATATGTTAATTTTTTCTTAAAGATTCTCATTGTATCTTCAACGGTTAGCAATCACACTTCCCCATTCTAAGGGAAAGATCGATACTCGTATGTTATTCTTTAATTTAGCTTCAGTTGTGTGACCTATTGATGTGAAAATTGGATATTTTTTTGTGACAGTACTTGACCTTTTAACGGTCGTTTTAAAAAAAATGTGTGAGAAAACAACACCGTGATATTTTACAACGAAAACAAAATCAACTTAATGACTAAACGTTTCTCATTGATAAGCACTATGGAGCAGTTTGGTAAAAACGTTAATATGTGGCTTACTTACTTTGTATAGGCATTAAAATTTATTGTTCAATAATTTTTTTAAATTTCAAATTTATTTACCGAACCAAAATAAAAAAGAAATTATTACTAATAGTCATATAAAATGTGAAAATTTAAAGAGCGATATTGATATTAAGTTGTAATTGAAATAACATATCCTTGCCATATTGTAAGGCAATTGTCAGTTACAAAGCTGCCAATAAAAATCGTAAATTTACATACGTTTGCGAATTACAAAAAAAAAATCAATTGTAAAAAGTTATGGTAATTTGTCCAATCGATTTGAGAATTTGTAACGCTTTGTAATCCATTATGTACTACAAATCCGTTACATCGGTATTTAAATGCAAATAAATATTTTTGATTTAAACGAAATCGATATTTTTGATGCTTCCCTATTGTATGAAAGGGCGTGAGCTAGTGACGCGAAATTAATCGTTATTTCTTCAATTGTACCGATTCTTCAATTTTTATTATATCGAAATGCGTGAAATATATGTAAAATAACGAACCTCCTTAAAAGCTACTTCACAATTAATTTATTGATATTTAAATATCTATACCATAACTTATTAAATATATTATTCATAAGTAACTATACAATACGATAGACATTCGATAAGGCTTTTTGGAATTACTGTATTTTTTTATATCATTGCAACCCTTGTGTAGTGAAGTAAAAAAAATATGTTCCTTAATACGGTAAAATCCATTAAATTTTAACTAGAGCATTTTTATTATTTAACTAGGACTTACTCAAGTTCGTCCCTTCATACGTTTTAACGCTTAGTACCTATAGGTTTCTCAGAGATGAGATATTTTCCCACAGTAAAAAATATTCTATATGTTCACCCGGATAACCAGCTATCCTCATACCAAATTTCATCAAAATCCATCTAGTAGTCTTCTCGTGATGCGTTCCCAGACAGACAGACAGACAGACAACAAATCTAAAAACAATAGATGAGGCCATCTATATCGATAATAATGAATATTTCAATAACATTTTCCAAAAAATACTTAATGTACAGATTCGAATCAGAATTTTATTATTTGTACAGATAATAGCTATGTTATTGTACCTATAAACATAATAATTTTATTAAAAAGCTATTAGGTAAAGTAACATGACGGACAAATTGGTATGCACTGTATAATAAACTCACAGAAATAATGTGTTTATTATAATAATGTATGTAAGTAAGTACATGTCGTGACATTACCTATATGAAATTTATTATAAAAAAAGTGAATTTTATACAAATTACTGTCAATGTCAATAAGTAATAAATACTTTGTATAATTTTATACAGCCTTCGTGGTTCAAACGATTTAAAAACCGAGATTTTCTGCAAGCTTTCCTCTTTTAGAAATCATTTGTTATCAATATACGTATTCACAATTATTAATATAATAATTTACCCAACGATTAGCTTTTACCTCTAGCCATAGCCGTAGATTTTCGACTTTGTATTATATGAAACTAAATTCTAAAAAGCTTAAGAAATATAAACTTTTATTAGACATGGTAATTAAACCTGCAGCTTTCAGCATATTAAGAGATTCGACAACTGTTGTCACTTATCAAAGAAGCTTCACAAGCTTTTTCATTAAGTACAATTGGAACATGCGTCGTGTCTTCTCCATTCTACTTCACAAGTTATCTTACTCAATGGCCATTAATATAAATAAATTAAGTACCTACCTATTACAAGATCTTTTCGCCATCTCAAATGGCCATCATCTAGTTAAGTGTATGTTTGCTTTTCTCACCCTAGTGATGTGCGATTATCAGTTGTCGATGCGAGTGGTCATGTCATGAAGTGTGCGTGCAATTGATGCAAAATCTGTTGCACTATCGAGAGCTCTTTATCTGTTTTGTTGTTTTATCGATTAATGTCAATGGATGTTTTCAATTTGAGTAGCGATTAATTTGTAAAAAAAATTACGTAATATATTTTTTTAACTTAAATAATGTACGTAGATATACATTGTAAATATTTCTTTCTCATTTTGACGTAAATACGTTGCTTGATTTTTTATTGGGCGACCCTATCTATTAATTAAAAAAAGAATCATGAAAATTGGTGAAGATATCACGAAGCTACCTTCACAAATCTTATAGAAAAATAAATAGGTGCCATATATTATTTATATGACAGCTGTCTGCCCTGCTATGTATAGAAACAAACACGTTGAAAATGCAGCTCAATTTTTCTACAAATTCTTAACTTCTTTAGATACCGAATATTGCATTTATTAAAAATTTCAACAGCATAATATCAACCAAATAGTAGTAATTAAAGGTATAATTAATTAAATAATATTCTGACAGAGTTTCACATCACTATACCACAGACTATACACACGACTGAATCGCTAATTCAATTACTAAATAACAACGTCAATAGACAACGAAGCGGGTTTTTGCGTCAACCAATTTTATTCATATCCGTACTGTGCCCCCTTTGAATTAAATACCTTTTGATCGTCGATAGAGCGTAAGATCCGTCCCTTAATCTCGGTTGATCATTTAACGTGTCCGATTGTGGGATTTCGGATGGCGTTTGCGAAATTGTTTGGTGCAAGTAACAAGCGGTCTTGTCCTATTAAAAAAATTATAACGAATTTTCTAAAATGTTATAATAACGTTTCAAATTCTATAATGATAGCGAGGTTTTTGTAGAAAAATACGTATAAATACTCAGATACTAATAACAAAGGTCGTAATATACTTATTGCATAGGAAATAGGTATATATGATTACTTAGTCTTTGTTTCCGGTTCGCTATCCTATATTGTCTTTTAATTGCTTCGTCCACTGATAAAAACAACTTGAGGAGCTCAGAGGAGCAATGAACAATTAATTTTAAATAAAACTGTCTTTTCGGATTTTTTCGCGGATTTATTTTGATTTGGATTCTTAACCTTTTGAATGCTTTACAGCAATCATGGTCAAGGTAGAGACTGGTCCTTCCCAGACCATGATAAAAATAAATCCGTGAAAAAAAACGAAAAGATAGGTTGATTTAAAATGCAAATATTCGCGTAAATCAAAAAAAAACAAATAAAAGTTATTAATTTTGGCAGTTGGTCTGTTTGACATAATAATATATTTAATATTTATGATATAGGTATGTATTTACTTTTTCTATCAAAAACTAAAATATCGTGTACACCTTCCGCTATTTCTTTTAAATTGAACAATCCCCAATTCAAATCTCGCTGTGAAGGTGGAAATAATGAAACCTTATTACTTTTTTTACATTTTGTCAAACAAAAATGAATTTAAATACATTGTGTTACAATTCAAAATATATCGTAGTATATTTGCGTATATTTATTTGTTTAGGTGCAATGATATTATCAAGGAATCAGCCGGTAAGTCGGTAGCCATTCTGCGTGTTAAATCCGGCAGAACTAAGTGGGTTCTGTGTTAAACCAGAAAACTGAGATGAGATCTGCAGATTTAATTTCGCTTATGTTTAACGATGAGCTAATACAGATTGCTTTTTATATGGGAAATCTGTATAGTGCTACGCTTATCTAGGAGATTTTACTTTATTTCATGGCAGAAAATGTGTTCTTGTGGAGCACTTGTAATATAAAAAAGTCGGTTAAAAAATAATTACTATTTGTATTTAAAAATGGAAGCCTTATATTATCTCTCACGTGTTGTCTGCTCTTTGGTATCTCAATATGTATATAGATTGATGTGTGTATGTATGTTCACTATAGACTCCGAAAGGGCTGGATTGGTTTAGATGAAATTATTAGGCAATTTTCAGATTAGCCCAGGGGGTGATTCTAGTTTTGTATACCCCCATACTATGTATATAATTAGTAGAAAATAAAAGCTGTCAACCCTTTTGGACTATCTTTTCGGGGGTAGTTATTTTCATTTTTACATGTCGTATTTATTTTTTATTTTAATCTATTATAATAAATAGCTTCATTTAGTGACGTGGGTCGAATGTTGAATACCTAAATTTATGAATAATAAATAATCCAAATATTTCATTTGGTACCTGCTACAAATATTATTATTATAAATTATAAACATGTGTCACTATATTAATATTAAAAAAACAATACAAAAATGATTTTTTACCATATTATAATTAAGAGACATTTTTATACAATGAAATCAATAGGATACGGGAAAAGAAAGCTCTATAACAAATAAAATTTAAGCATCTGGCTCTTTAAAAGCTCAATTCAATATAATGTACCGTTAAGTTTTCACAAGCTTTAGACCCATCTGCCACTTGATAATGAAGAAATTCCACTCGACAAGTAAACACGCGAATAATTAAGCTCTTTTAGCCCTTTTCACGCAATTTTGTTATTCAATATTTACTGTTAAATCTCCAGCACATGGCTACCTTATAGGTACTTCATTAAAAAAAATGAATAGTATCATCGGCTAGGATCACACTTTAAGTAGTTTTGACTTGACAATAAATACAAATATATATAAACTCACGCTGGCTCTACAATACAATGTAGAGTAAGCTGTATTCCAACCTAATAGAGTTACAATTTCACCGGAAGTCGGTTAAATGGTCAGTCTATACCGGATGTGGAAAAAACTCGTTGTATTTAAGTCGCATTAGTAGATAATAATCAGATTCGAAATGCAGATTTGCTTTCTGAGACAAGGCTGAGTGCGGTTAGCCTTTGTACTTCGAAAACGTTACACACGATCCAAAAAAAACGTACTTTTCGGAACTATTTAGTAATGATTAAACACGTTTCGTTATAGAATGTATGAATAACAATTGAGGATTATCGACATACTGTTACAAATTCCCACAGCACATCTCTAGTTTATTGTTTAATTTTACATAGTGCTCCAACTTATTGTCATAAATTTTTAAATAAACTATTATTTAAAATTAGAATATTTTCGATTTAAATATTTAACGATAATATAATTTAAAGTAAACCTTTTATGCGGCCACTAAAAGATAAGTAATTAAAGATAGCTTAATATATAGGCCTTTAGGTATAT